CGTCTGTTAAACAGGAAGCCGCGTACGACTCATGTTCCTGCACCAAATGGGCTCGCTCCGTGAATGAGGTTCATAAATTTGCAGTGTATGAAATTTGCATGTAGCCTTCGGAGTGATGCACTGCTGCCAGGACTCAGGTCTGCTGCATCTCTAATCACACACAGAATACAAATGCACTTCCTGGAACAAGGTGAGGAGCTAAGCCGGCAGGATTTTCAGTGTTTCGGCTGTAAGTGCTGCTAGTTTGCAATTCATCGCGTAAATCATGATCCCCAAGCAGTGAGTCAGTCTTTAACAACTCCATATGAGTAGTGACAGCTGGATTAACAGGAAAAACGTGTCCGGTTCAGTCAACACTCAGAAAGGATTCTTCACCCTCAATAAACTAATGTGAGTGAAATGTAACAGAAATCATTAATTATTTGACCGGATTCAATCAAATGCAACATTTTACACTTATGTAACCAAATTACATGTAATTAAATGATAAAGTCGCATTCAGGACAGATTTATTAGTGAATATGAAGCAGCCCTGCTCTGGTGGAGTGTGGTTCATCCTGTTTGGCACTGAAATGATGTTTCTGAACCGAACATTTGATGTTGAACTCGAGTCTCAATCCAGCTTCTCAAATTAAATATCGTTGTAATTTCTATTTAATTTAATGCTAATATTTTACTACACCATAGCTGGAAGGTTTGTGCATTTTACACTAATTACTTTGTTTTTACATGTGTTATAAAAGACATCATCATTTTGCTTCCACACTATATGAGGCTTTTTGACCTTAGCACCACCCAGCAACATTAAAATGCTACATACAGGTTAAGACGTGAATAATTTAAAAGCCCAATCTTTGATCCAAATGTAAACCAAAGGTCATCCCTGCCTACCATCAAAAATTTAAAACAGAGAAGTGGAACATGCGCTCACTGCTGCAGTGACTCTGAGGCGATGAAGCTCCACAGCCCTCGGCAACAGCTCAGGTGTTTGCGTATTACGATGCTCTTGTTTCTCCTCGTAGAAGTAAAGTTCCCGATCGCAGCAGGACAACAACGCCCCGTCTCTTAACCCGAAGCTGCTGGGACGGCTGCAGTGCTTCCAGTTAATCCTGTGCATATTTTATGATATTAATGCTACATCCCATCCATTCATTTACTTATTTCAACATTCACGGTGCTGATGGATCCTTGGATCGACTTTTAGTGACATTTGCTGTTCAAAACGAGTGTGCACAGATCGTCTGTGAGAGGAAGCTGATGGAGCAGAGGGGAAGTACTCCTGTGATGCAGAGGTCAGACATTCACACTTGCTGCGTTTCCTCAGACAGTCATGTCAGCGAAGCTTCTGCAGGATTCTGACACGAGTCTTTACACAGTAGCATCCTGCTCATCTCATTTCATGAAGACAGAGCTGAATGTGAGGCACTTTGTAACTGATAAATAATCATTCATCCAGCACGGTGGAAGTTTTTATACCACCATCATCATATCAGCAGTCTTCAGCAAATGTTCTCTAAATGATAAATATTTTTTCCTCTGTTTCTAATCTTCAGTGAAGGATGATAATTATCTCTGGCCCTAAATTAGCCAGCAGGCTAATTACCATGTGCCATCCAAAACAAAGCTCCCCGTGGATGCACATTTGCAAACAGTGTTGTCTCTGAATCTGAGAAAACATCACTTTCTGTATTTGTATGTATTGGCTGTCACTCGAGGTGCAGTAAACAGGACACAGACACTCTGCCTGCCTCCATCTCTTTGTATTTCCCTCACACGCCACATTAAAGGGGAACGATGGCGCTTTGAGGGCAGCTTACAGCAGCGTTACGTGGACAGACGGGGGACACATCATGAAAAGAGCCCAAAGGCAGCGTCCTCGTGTATCGAGGAACACAAGAGTTACACGGACTGCTGTTTTTGAGTCACCGCGACCAGCAAAGAAAATCATGCCAAATATCTATGAACCATTGATTTACACCAGCCTCTTTAAATTAGCTTGACCTTTGACCTTTTGATATTAATGAGTTAGTTATTCCAGTATTTGGGGTGTTTGAGCCTGAGTTACAGTCAGCAGTCGTTTTAATGAGCTACACAGAGCTTTACTGCTCTGGTATAAAATGACCCTCAGCTCACTGTGTTTGACCTCAGGAAGCAGTTTTCTCATGACGTTTAGAACCGCCGCTCCCAGGCCGGACTGAGTTTTACACCATGTTCACTTTGTAAACGACGAGGACTATTAGACGAAGAAAAATGACAGGAGATGCTTTAAAAAGGTATTTTGTGATTGACAGGTCGCTGCCGTACGAGGGCGCTGTTCCTTGGTTTCTCAGTCAGGTCCACTGGTTTCAAACAGCAAACTGGCAACAGTCAAAGCTCCTAACCAGTGAGTGACCATCTTCTGCATACAGTCTGTGGTTCCAGGAAGACTTTTTTGATAATAAGCTGGGAAAATGCAAACATGAGTCAGGCTAGCATGGTGATTCAATTCAATTCAATTCAATTTTATTTATATAGCGCCAAATCACAACAAAAGTCGCCTCAAGGCGCTTCATAGATACAGAGAAAAACCCAACAATCATATGACCCCCTATGAGCAAGCACTTTGGCGACAGTGGGAAAGAAAAACTCCCTTTTAACAGGAAGAAACCTCCGGCAGAACCAGGCTCAGGGAGGGGCGGCCATCTGCTGCGACCGGTTGGGGTGAGAGAAGGAAGACAGGATAAAGACATGCTGTGGAAGAGAGACAGAGGTTAATAACAGATATGATTCAATACAGAGAAGTCTGTTAATACATAGAGAGCGAGAAAGGTGACTGGAAAGGAAAAACTCAATGCATCATGGGAATCCCCCGGCAGCCTACATCTATTGCAGCATAACTAAGGGAGGATTCAGGGTCACCTGGTCCAGCCCTAACTATATGCTTTAGCAAAAAGGAAAGTTTGAAGCCTAATCTTAAAAGTAGCCTAATCTTAGAAGAGTAGAGGGGCCTGAAAACTGAAGGCTCTCCCTCCCATTCTACTTTTAAATACTCTAGGAACAACAAGTAGGCCTGCAGAGCGAGAGCGAAGTGCTCTAATAGGGTGATATGGTACTACAAGGTCATTAAGATAAGATGGGGCCTGATTATATAAGACCTTGTATGTGAGGAGCAGGATTTTGATGGAGCAGGCCTGTTAGCATGCATTTGGAAGATCGACTAGAACTTCTGAGGAGTCATTCCAGTTTACCCAGTATGTCATTGTTCTGGAGACACACTGCAGTCATTGCAGTTTTATGCTCCACGCTGACAGGATGTGTTTGTTATCACACTTATTCTTTGGCTTTTTCACAGATCTGTTCGGCCGGACGCTGAAATGACCCCAGCTCAGTGCTGAGTAAAGGTGCTTAAGAGCTGAATAATTGGGTTTGAAAATGAACGATTTAGCCTCCGTGGAGCTCGTGTGCACTTCACGTGTGAAAGTAATTCAATTTGCTGTTTGAGCAGAAAGATTAAAGTCACTTCCAATTATGCCACATCTTTGCCATTTAGCTTCTACGGCCTCTCACGCGCCAACCTGTGTCAGAGCATAACAGTTTATATATTTTCAGTCGGGTTGATGAAAGAAAAACGTAAACGAATAAAAGATTCCCGTACAGAGGAATCTCGAGGCCATTACAGCTCGTGGGCTGTGTTGTAATATCTGAGTGACACAGCTCACAAAGCGCTGCTTTTTGGAGAGCAGAACAGAGGCGAGCGTGTGCGCCGTGCTGACTCAATAACATCAAGTATCGCCCGGGGGAACCGCTGCTGATGGAAGTGCTTACGCAACATCAGCGTTCAACACTGACGGTAGGTAAGTAAGAACGAAGATTTGTTGTCATTGTTAATAGTTAACATGCCCCTCCCCCCACTGTACTACAGCTCTGTGTGCTTAATATTGTACGAAATGATAAGAAATTGCTTTCCTTTGATTCTCTGACAACAAAATGTTTTGGTAGCTAAATAACTGGCAGATGTTCCTGTTAGCAGCTGGGTGAGGCACGGCTCAGTCAGTGACATCATAGCTCTGACCTGTTGGACTAATTAAAGTAAGAATTTGGAAAGAAACCTGACATGATGAAGGAGTATCTCCTGGACCAGCCTTTTTACTGCACTTCTCCATCAGCATCATCACATCGTCAGTCTGTGCTTCATGTTTCAGTAACATTTATGGAAGTGAAATTATGGAATAATTTGCAGATTAGAGAGGCCCCTTCACTGTCCACTTTTAAATCACGTCATAAAACCCACTTCATTCTTTGGCTTTTAACCACAGTGACACTTAGTTTCTCTAGTAATTAAATTAGTGATTTAATTAATTATTTTACTTACATATTATGTAATTTTATTCTATAGTTCCAATGTACAGCACTTTGTGTCAGCTGTGGTTGTTTTAAAATGCTCTATAAATAAAGGTGATGATGATGATGATTTTCATAACACTAAATATTTTACCACATGTATGCGCATATGTAATGTAGTGTACACATTAATGTGGTGGAAACAAACCAGTCGGTGGTTTAATAACTGTGCAGCATCCTTTAAAACATCAAGCACGTTACAGAAGACAAAATCCATTTCTATAAAGGACATAAACCAGCATGAACACACAGGGAAAGATGAAAAATGAAAATAGATAATAATAAATGTTCCACCTCAGCTCTCCAACATTTTTAAGCAGCAGCTTTAAAAACCTCACTGACATCCAGCAGCTGTGACCTGAATGTTGAGGTAATTTACACCTTAAAGGTTAAAATAAATATTGAAATGCAGAAATCTTGATTTTTAAACATTAGTAGTTCAAACTTGCTCCTGTTGAGACGATTTAACCGGATCTGAGGCTGCCTGCCCTGCTGGGATTAGTGAACTGCTCCTTTATCGTTCTGCTCCTCGCTGCTTCAGAGCCGGGCAACCAATCACTGACGAGAAGGCGGGGAGAGAGAGGGGGAGAGAGAGAGCGGTGGGTGGGTGGGGGCGGGGCTGGTGGTGGTGGTGGCGTTTCAGCACCGCGGACAGCTCCTGCCTCTGGTCTCTGGGCTGCAGGGAGAAACAGCTGGACGAGACTACACACCGCTTCACTTCGATCCACAGACCGCCCCGAGCCTGCCCCACGCGATCCACGCGAGAACAGGCTGTCCGTGTTTCTCCTCCTTCTCCTCCGTGCTGACTGCTGTGTTCTGTGGCCTCGCTGAGGACTCCAGCCTCGGTTAACTGCATCGCCTCTGCGCCTTCCGTCCGCTGGCTCCTCTTCCTGTTGTTGGCGGCCACGGTGTTGTGGGGTTTTCGGGGAGGGCGGGGCGGAGGAGCAAAGTTCACTTCTTCTTTGCTCTGATTATTTTTGGTGTCGTGCACCTGTGTGTGACATGTGCGTGTGCACGCCGCCGCTCGCTGCCCGGGTTTGTCTGCAGGCTCGGGAGCGCATGTTCCTCCGGGATGCAGAAGAAGTTGTGTAGTTCCTCTCGCGCTCTGCTGTGAGACAGGTGAGCTGCATCTGCATCGTTGGCTGGGATCCTCGCAGCAGAGTGCCACGGACTCGCTCGTTTCACGTGGACAAACGTCAGAGAGCACGATGAGGAGCCTCTGTGACTTTTTAAATTGCACCTAAGAGAGAGAGAGAGACGGGGGTGGGGTGGGGGTCCCTGTTAGTGCCCCGGCACTGCTGCAGGAACACACGCTTTGCTTCTTTAGCTGCTTAAACCGCTGGGATCGCGCGTGACAGTGGACACTGTGCCGCTCACCTCTTTACCCCTAACCTGAAAACAGAGCCCGACACGCGGGGAACGAAATGAAGAAGTTCCGGAAGGTGCTGGACGGCCTGACCACCTCCTCCCCGGGAGCCACTGTGGGCTCTCCGTCGTGCGGCAGCGCGGCCGGGACTCCCACGGCGGCTCCAACTCCGAAGGAGATCGACGTCCAGGAGACGCTGGTGTCGGAAAACTTCCAGCTGTGTAAGGTAGGTTGATGGAGGCGCTTATTTAGGCTACACCCGAGTGAACACGTGACCTGCGAGGTGCTACATTCGGGCAGGTGCAGGCGGCTCTGGGCTTTGGGGTGAGGGTGAAAGTTGAATCTGCTGCTGGCTGTCAGAGGTTCAGCACCGCGGACAGCTCCCGCTCTCAGCGACCTCCGAGTCTATCCGAGAACCGTTCATGTGTTTGTGTGCGCGCGTGCTTGTTCTCGTGTGTGCAGCACTGTGTCGGGCCGCAGTAAGTTGTGCACATGTGCAGCAGGGAGCTGAGAGAAAGTGGGTGAGCAGCAGCGTCCACGCTGCGTGGAGTGGGAGCGATGACATAACCGGTGAGCATCGCTCTCATAAAGGAGTTCGAGCCAGAGGAAGGAGGCTGCAGTGCTGCTCAGTGAGGAGGGGGGAGAATGAGGGAGGGGTGCTGAATGGGGGTATTTATAGCTTCCTCTGCCGCCCGTCGCAGCTCTGGTCCTGGATCCAGTCTGCTGATGCAGTGAGGACTCTCAGGTTTACAGGGACGGCTCTGAATGGCTGTGAATAATTCATTGAGAATCTGAGAGAAAAGGCTTGTTTAGAGGAGTGTGTTATTATTAGGCAGAGTAACACTGATGTGTGTGTGTTGGGCAGGTGGG